TTGTCACTTCGCCCACCATTGGTCAACGAAGATCATCACCTGTGACGTACATGGGGAAATCTCGAGAAGAAAGCCCCCATATAAAAGACAAGTGCGATGACGACACAAGGGGGAAAAAGTTATTTTCTATACTGTGTGTGTGTGGATTACCTGCCTCTCGTCGCCACCATCCTCGATAGAACTATTCTACGATTTGCGGACTTACGTCGACTCACGAACTATTTTAACGAGCCCGGGATTCGGACTCCAAGATCGTCCTGAAAACACCATCCTGTATAACTAGAGGTATTTATCCTACACGCGATGATATGTAAGCTCTCTCTCGCTATTCGAATATTCCGACCTCGCGGTTAGGATCGCGACTACTTTATCTTTTGCCGTTACTTTATGAACTATACGGATTGAAATTCCCGAGAGGGATCTGTACCTTCGACTCTTTAAATAATTAACTATGTATAAATGTACGGAATAAACGGGTATTTTATTAACGAACTTGGATTGGTGTGAGTTTCTTCCGACATTATCCACTCCATACTGAACCAGAAGTCCTTGACGAGATCGCTCGTGATAATTCCCCTTCTATTTACCCGCGTATCTATCCGCGATAAATTGATAGATTGGTGTCAGATCCTGACAGGTGAAAGAATCTAACGATCCTTTCTCCTAACCTTTTTTCTCACATCCTTTAGACAAGCGGGACCGGACCTCAAGGTCTTGAGTCGAGTAAGTGGCAGGAGAGTCAAGAACTCGTAAACATCCTGCCCCCGATTAGTCTCACAATAATAAGAACGAATATTAATAATTACCTGCAGTTTCCATTCTATTTTATTTTGAGTTTCGTGCCTTAGTTGTAAGCTGTCTTCCCTGAATGCAGTGGACTTTGCAATCATATCCCTGCTGATTTTCTCTAAGTCAAAATTGTCCAAGTTCCAATCGTCTAGAGTGTAATGAATTGTCGACTTATTTGTTGGAAACATTGTTAACAACGAAGACGATTTTTAATCCCGGAGAACAAACTAAATTTTTCTACGATCAAGAAAATTTATTATAAGTTAATATTTAAGTTATTTCATTCAACTCTACACTTTTTACCTGTATTTGAATACCTTCGATAACTGCCAAGTGAATCGAATTTAGCTTATTTTTATATTGTTGCTATGGTAATTGTGTCGAAAGAATTGTGTTAATGACAAAAGGAAAAAAATTGTTATTATTATTCATTTATATNACTCCACATAATATTTTCATAATGTATTAACACTGAGCATTAGAATATTAAAGTGCAGGGTACTGTACTGTACATACAATGTATGCAAGTTGTTTTTAGTAAGGTTCATTTAAGTACAGTATAGTACTAAATGGAATTGTTTAGTACCCATATATGGAATCAACGTGTTTATGAAATGTAAAGATTTTACTTAAAATACCGTGTCCAAGTGTCAAAAAAGTTTCAATAAACCAGTTTTTACATAAACTTTATTGATACTTTTTTGTTCAGTGTTGCGAGTAACTTACCAATTACGCAGACCGATCATCACTGCTTTACATAGTTATACAATCAGCTCTTTATTGAGCAAATACGGTATATAATTGTCTTTCGTTTTACAGTAGACCCCCCTATAACGCTTAGATACGTTCCACGCTAACCGAAAATTACGTTGTAGGAATGAGCCAATCGCAGCCCGATAGGTGGGAACTTTACGGACTAAGGCTGTTCGAAAGGTTTTCTTCTATAAAATTAACCGATTCTAGACTAATTCCACTCAACATTTCCAAAATACGTATAATTTTTTGGGAATAATCTGTATAAACTATGCTATAAACAAAAAATTGTAGGATTACTTACACCGTTCGACTACGCCGTTGCTTAAAGCTGGTTTTCATCGCGGAACAGCACGCGAAACGACGGCCGCAATTTCTGATAACGAATTTTTGGCGGAAAAATAACTTGACCTTTGGAGACATCATTAATATAAATAATTTTTATGGACGTTGAATAAGAAGTGTTTCTTTCACAAGAAATGTATAAAATTAGTGCTGTATTAGACTTACGGTACCTAATTTACATACTGTGCAGACGATAATAAACTCAACTTACTAGCCTAAAATCTCCGTAGCGTGTTGCCAGGCGGCAGAAAGCATATATATAATTATAATAAAGTTACAATAAATTAAGTTAATATATAATTATATATACAGTACCTAATTTATATATAATTAATATATAATTATATGTACAGTACCTAATTTATATATAATTTATATATAATACTAAACAGACGATAGCAAACTCAATTTAGCCGCTCCGTAGCGTGGCGCAGGGTCGGAGGAAAGTAGTTCGGCTGCTCATCCACTATTGGTCCAGACTCTATCAATCTTGTCGCGAAACGACGTTATAGGAGGTACGTTATACGAAAGTTGCTACAATTTTTTCGCTACGTTATAGGAATTGTCGTTATAGGAACGTACGTTATAGGGGGGTCGACTGTACTAAATTTTGGAAATCTTCATCTATACTCGACAAATTACATTTCTTTGAACATATTTCGGATGGATCTCGGCAAATTGTTCCAAAGTGTAGCAATAATACTCGATTCCGTTTAGATACTTTAACAATTAGATTGGGGTTTTCTTGTTGTATTGGCCACTTTAAACTGGTTGAACGGAGATAAGTGTCCCTGTCTTGGCTACTTAAGTGAGGTGGCCACCAGGTGTGACAAAAGCGGTTTTACTGTATTAATTCTGACGTATATGTTTATATTTAAAGTCGATACAAATTTTATTATACGTATGAACTCAACTAAAGTCGTCACTAAAGAAAAATTTTGAAATTGTTATTTCTCACGTGCGCCGACTCGATCCCACTAAAACGCGGGCGCGGACATCTTGTTACATACGGGTATGGAGAATCGAAAAACACCCGATTGCTTTATTCGAAGGAAGTAAAAAAAGGTAAAAGTTATTTTTAGGTGTCATTTTGTTATTCACATATCTATATACAGTATTTAAAATGAACAAAATCACTTCGCACCCTTTCCATTAATCAAATTTGGCATACGAGGTCTTAAATTAAACATTACGACCTCTAGATGCGCAGGAAACTCTAAACACTTGAATATATTTCGACTTGATCGAATTATTAATGTGAGGTCAGCCGATTAGGAGTGAGGTATTTTCGAAAGCCGAGCGATCACTACTGTCGTGTGGGCGCGGAATGACTCACCGAGACAGGTTTACCATATATAACCGTTTAATAATATACATAAATCGTTCTTACAACAATCCAATAAGTCGGGCAAGAGCTTATCCCACGATGGGTTTCTGTCACAGTTCCCGAAAATCGGAAAGTTCGAATGTTCGATTGGTCCCTGGGGAGCTTTTGGCACTGTGGACGCAGAGAACGATGGCCCCGGGGCACGCACCAGCACTTGTAGTGATGTCCTCGGTTGACGAGTCGAACCTCGGCGATCCCAGAGTGGACGGGTTGGCGAAACCAGTTCCTAGGTCGTCGAAAGAGCCTTCGTTGCGTCTCGGTCGGGAGCACCAAATCCCGACAGGTGAGCACTACACACCAAAACCCAAGCCCCCGTAAAGTTTTCGAAAACGCGCTTTTATCGACTTTTCCACCGCGGTCGCCTCTCCATTGGTCTCTCCTCGTCACATGGTAACAATTCGAAACCCCAGGAAGGGCGCGGGAGAGGTCAACGTCGCGTCGGAACACGACTCCTCTCCAACCTCGTTTTTTTCGACTTTATCTATCGTTTAAAATCTTTTAACAAGACAAAAGGTTCATTGTTTAAATCCGATCTTTAAGTTCGCTCTTTCGCACTACGAAACTTGACTCATTTAAAAAATCGTTAATGGCCTGCTTTCGGACCCCGTTTGGGTCCTCACATTAACGATTTTAGTGATTTTCGATTGGTCATGCCATTAGTAACACTACACGCGGTCTATTATTAGGTCTACAATCTTTTGCATTATACAGTAAATTCCTATGCTAATTTTTTTTCGAATATTTTAAATGAAATAGTTGATTAAAACAGGATATAAAACTTTAGACAAGACATAACTTATAAATATACAACAGATAAAAAAAAACAATAAATGGCGAAAACTGTGAAAATCACTTGTTAAAACAACGAAAGTAAGTTGAATAGTTATTTAAAATAGATATTTAGCAAAACCTTGTGAGTCGTTATGTTGTCACAACAATGTAGATATTGCAGACCACGTGCACTGATACTTGTGACCACCATTATTTAATTCAATAGTTAAGAACTTTATACGTTGAAATTAAGTTGTCTTCCACCCGTTAAAGTGAAATATATAATAAATCCAATATTTTTAATACTTTGCTTACGTCAAAATGAAGCACGTAATAATACAATTACGAGGCAAAACGTATACGTTTCCATACATATAAACGTTATAGCCTAAATGTATTTAAAGCTCTACAGCGTTTCTAAAATATATACACATTAAGACGCACAGTGCAAAATATTCTATTAAATAGACCATGTGACCCATCAAAAATCGCCAAAATCCATAAGAATCCGATCGAGTTGCAATATTCAAAATTTTAATATCAATAGGATATGTCCGTTACTCGCCACTCCCATTGTGGGCCCGACCGAATCCACGAAAGGCCCTCTTAGTGCCGCGGGGCGAAAAGAGCAAGAGGGCCTTTTAATCAAGCAATTCGATTTCCATTATTAATCGTTTAAATAACAATTCAGGTTTAAAATGAACACAAAGATATGTATTTTATATGTACGAATCATAAGATTTATTACTGTTATATTTTCTGGTAAAAGAATTTTGCTTATTTAAAATAAATTTTTGCATTTACTAATCGATCAAAAGTCTTTCGTTTTGTGCTGGATTTTCCGTCGTGGTACTTCAAGTAACTCTGTAAGACTCCTTTGATACTAAATGAGAACTCGGCATAATTTTGAAAGGAGGTACCATTTCGACGGATGACGTGTGGAAGGCTGAATCCTTCAACCGCGACACATCGTATTGATTTGAACGGGCCCCGTGTGTCGATTCAAACATTCCGTATCTAACTGTAACGACTTTTCCTTTCTTGTTAAGTCGTCTTCCACTCGACGTAGATGCTCTTGAACTTGATTCAAAATTAATCTGCGAATATATTAAATAAATTCCTATTATATTTTTATTCTTGTAATTTGCAAAGTATTACTTTGGCTGCATAATTTGATAGTAAGCTGATTTAAAATTGCGTATTGAACGATTACAGATTTTTCAATGAAAATAATCAGTCTTCAAATGAACGTAACGTGTTATCTAATTAAACAGGAGAAAAATTGATCGATGTGTTTGAGTACACGTTGATGAAGGAAAATTTTAATGCGTATTATAAAATTTATAAACTAAGAATATGTTCTATGAACCTTGGCACAATTACTAGATGCTGAACTTTCTAACCAAATGGACAATTAGAATTTGTACTGTACGTGAACCTTTAAGATTCGAATTGAACTTGTGAATTTTATTAAATTTAAGTTATTAATGAAAAAGTTCGTACCTGGCATTATTTAATTTCTTCTCCAGTTCTTCTTTCGCTTTATTTAACTGCGCATATTCTTCTCTCAGTCCCCAAAACACATCATCGGCAACTAATTCCATTCTTGTTCTCCAATTTTTATCATCTAAGCGCGTATGAATTAAATTTAAAGAATTCCTAATGGCTTGAATTTGTTCTTCTATATTCTGAATTTCTGTCATCATCTTTACGATCTCGTCAATAAGCTAAATTATATATATATTTCATAAATATATTATAAATCATAAACTTTAATGTTAACATACGCTTACGTTATATTTCTGATAAGCTAAATTATCCCTAGCTTGTTGGATTTCGTGTATCCGTTGACGAAAGGCATATTGAGTCGCTTCTCTTTGCTGAAACAGAAGATTGTTCGTGTCCCTAATTGTTCTCCAACAATTAGCGATTAGTGTTCTAGCTGCGGCTGTAATTTCCTCTCCCTTCGTACAATTTCGAACTAAATGATCGAACCATTGCTGTACCTCAACAATTCTAAACATGAATAAAATTAAATTCTGAATGTTCCACTTTATTGTAAACGTGTTATTCTGAAGTACCAGAAGTAAATAAAGACAAATTATAAGGTTAATTTTAATAACCTACCCTGGAGGGATATCCAAAGGCCTGGATTTATAACTAATATCATCTACACATTCAGGTTGTAAGAGTTTCAAACGACGATCTGCAGCTAAAATATAGGATTTGTCTTTCATGTCATTATACAAAATATCTCTGACCTCTTTCAATTTGCATAACTGTTCCCAGCACTCGTGGCTCTTATTTCTCATTTTACAACCTATTTCATCAAAGAGTTTTAGTTCCTAAAACGAATCCAAATTAT